ATGTGCGAACATGTCAGACGTGACACCGGGTCACACCATCGGCACATGCGGCTACACCACTTTTTATTCTTCCTCTACCCTCTAGACGTTGGAGGTTCATATGCATGGACTTTTATTTGGCCTACTGAAGGATTCGGCCGGCAACACATTGTGGTCTTTGTTGACCGTTTGAGAAAATCGATCACTTAGAGAATGTGACGGACTTAATTGATGATGAAGGTACGCACTGCTTTGCTGCTAATTGATCACGTGTGTCGACAACGTGTCCTTCCACTAGCAATTGTCTCTGACAGAGAATCTAGTTAAACAGGTAAGTTTATGAGTCCATCTTTAGGTGCTCTGAGCCAGATTAGACACGTCTAAAGCGGCTCACCCGCAGACCGATGATTGGAATGAGAGATTAATTGCGTCTCGGAAGGTGTCGTACACAGTGTGCGTGCTGATACGCCTCGGCATTTAAGATCATTGCTCCCCATCGTTAATTTTGCCATCTAAAATACTGTCCATGCCTCGACAGGCTATACTAATTTCGGTGTGAACGGCCTCACACAACTCGCGTGCCAATGATGCTACTAAAACGAGGTTCAGGGCTTTGAGGAAATAAGTTGTGCGATCGGCTTGCTGGTGTCATCTCAGCAACTATTTATAAACAGGTTAGCGCGTTCCCAATCACGCAATTGAAAATCTAATGACACACGCATGATGCAATGGCTGATTAACAAATTCAAAAAAGATAAAAGAAGGCGCTTAAGTCAGAAGCTGTTAAGGAAGTTATAACCTCGGTGAACAAATCTGACTAAACACTAAAAATCTACCAATGTAAGTAGTGTCTGCTGTGTTGAAGACGAAGCTGCGTTCTCGCTTCATAAATTTATTTACGGTCGTGGCAAGAAGTTCCTTTCTTTTACACTAAGTTTACGACAAAAATCGCATACACTCCCGTGTTTTACGTTAGCCTCCTTGGGCCGCATCGGCATCCGTCCCAGGTTGACCTGGAGGCGCCACGAAACTTGTCTTTGCCACAGGTTGCTGCATCCGAATCAGGAGTTTAAACAGCTACGTCGTGCGCGTCTGACTCGTCTTGAACATCCATAGAAGGGCTTGCCCCGCATAAAGTGCACACTGATTCGGGCTTAAAGTCTCGAGAATACTGTTCATCTTGTGAGCAAAGGCCGCATGGGCTGCAGCCGACACACTGGAAATTATTGTCGTTGCTTGACGATCAAGGGAAACTACATTTACAGGTGGATAGGTCAATGCAACAATGTCGTCTTCATGTCTATATTAGTATCCGTTGAAGTGGCGGCGGTAATCTGAGTCAGAGATCATGGTAAAACTATATACCTCTTCAGCCAGATTGACCATATGCCGTGGCTGTTTTTGAGCGCGATATTCAAATCAACTTGATACCCCTCACTCTTATCATTAGTGCTGGTAGCAGAAGGAGGGTCCATGGCCGAAGCCCTGTGTGTATTTGCAGCTATCGGCACAGCCGCAGCGTAATGCGTGCAGAAAATTGCACGCAACTGGTATTTGGAATTCATTTTTGTCTATTTATAACGGAGTTTTGTTTGAGACGCACGTCGGCGTTGTTGGCACTTTTTTCTTAAAGTCACGGCGCTGCTAAAGCATCTTATTTATGGATCCATCGTATTTATGAATTTCTTCTTCGGAGGCAAACTCTCCTACGTCCAGGAGCATGAGGACACCATAAATTAGTGGAACTGGTACACCATGACCTTGCTTTACAAAGCTTACCTTCTGTTGACTTGGAGTCAGTGGATATGGCCCCAGGTATATCTTGCGTAATGCGCTGACTTTCAACATCTTCAGATGTAGATGGTGATGAGGCAATAATTTACGATGCCAAATGTTGTCCTATAGTCTGTTGTGCTGAAGTAATAATCTCTCATTTCTGAGGCAATCTCGATCCTCTCCACTAGCGCTCGGACGACCGACTAACTGAGGGAGTACTCCGATTTCGCGTCGTTCGTCTTCCTAACCTTGTGTGTCCGTCGGTAGGTGGAATTGCAATTGTTTAAGTGGACTCAAATTGATGCTGAATTTGAGCGTGATAGTTTGTAATCGGTGGCAATCACGCAAAAAGTTCACACCATCGAGTTAGCTTTGTGTGGGATCTTGGAATAATTGCCCTAATTTGCTCAAGGTCGCCTTGACCTACGGTGAAGCTTGATCGTGCATACCTTCTGACCACTTGAGCCGTCTCGCGATCTTGCACAACTTGACCTTGCTTTGCTTGCTGCGTCCGATAGCAGTTGACTTGGTGTCTTGGGAGCTCACAAACACATTTGCTCAAACAATTTAGGTGCTACAATAGTGTAGACGTGTAGCGCGGCTTTATATATGTCATGATGCCAAAGACCTGCCCGGAAAAGGTAAAGTGTGTCTTTCGAAGTAGATTGAACTCTGTTTTATGTGAATCAATCGAAACTAAAAAAAGCACTGTGGCAATCTGTATCCTATAACCGGTGCCACGCGTCGCCTTTTCATTAGAATCGTAATCTTGTACTTACGTGATTCTGGCCAGGTGTATGAACAGTTGGATCTCCACGTGGTGTACATCGGATACTGCGACAGCTGGATCCTAGGTCGTAACCCCAGGTAGGGGATCGCAACCGTAATTGCGCTATGGAGATCAGAGGTCGAGATCGCCATTGTAAGGTACGTATCACGATTGCAAAACCTGTCAGGTCATGGCTCATAAAAGATCGTGTAAACCTACTGGGCTAAACCACATCTTACCCACACAATATGCGGCGATTGCGATCACTTGGGTCTACAAACAATTTGTGAGACAATCGTACCAGCTCATGTTCACTAATCAGACCCATTTTTGACCAAACTGAAGCGTACAATGTTTGCGCACCCAACTCCAGTGCAACTGTAAAGTTGCTTGTGGCCACTTTACCACACTGTCAGGTACGTTCCGCCACGACGAGAGGGGTGAAGACATAGTCAATATGACTTTCGAGTGTTGACATAATCTGAGGCTGCGCCGGGCGCTCTCCCGTTGTTCGAAAACCTGCCCTTGTTCCTCATCTAGCGCTTTCGCGATGGTATATGACTCCATGCCTGGTGTCATGTGAAGCACAGTTAGCGCATCCGCAGCTCCATGTCCGAAGAACGGATTGAGTGGTTACCTGCCTCGGTATGTCGTCGCTCTTTGTGTGTCAGATTTGGCATCACTACCACAGCTGTAACGGGGCACCCTGAAGCTTGTACTGGTGACAGTACAAGCTACTTATTCTGATAACAGAATAAGGCGGTGCCTCGTAACTTCACGTACACTCGTACGTGCAGAGGAAGACGGTAAGAAGAAGCGAGTACTCGGTTAGAGTAAAAAGTAGAACTGTATTTATAATAGTTAATGTCTGCAATAAATCACTATTTATCTTCATCTAACTATGTCTAAATACAAATGTGTAAATCAGTTATCTGCTCACCACTCATTGCGTGCGTCTGTCGTGGCGCGTCTTCGTTGGTTGATATAATGGCCTATATCAACCAATTAGGAACTACTTGGAAGTGCTACAGAATATTGTCCTTATGACAATATTCTGAGAATATAACTCTTATAGTTATATTCTATTAACAATTTCTTATAAATTGTTATGTAACGATTCACCCCGTTACATCACCCCCCTTAACCATCAGTCACTTTAGTGACTGATTGACTAAATGGATACTCGTCCCAAATCATTTGGGACGGGGTTTGCACCCCTTGTTGGTCCGCGTCCACTTTCCAACATCTCATCGCATGGTAAACAAGCCCATGCGATGCGCGAGCTAAGGCCGCCGAGAGCGCGTCTGCACGTCTCTGTGCGGACGCCGAAGCAGAAACTACAGCAACTGATGTCCCATCGGTTGCTGAATCGGCTTTCAGCCTGTATCACCTGGTGATGCAGGCGCTGGTCATGAGACACTCGTGTCTTCACAGAGTACGAGCTCGGTGTCTCGTACTCTCCTGATACGGATGACGGATCCGTATCGACGGCAATTGAATCCAAGCCGCCTGCCAAGCGTGGCATGGACGATGCTTTGCGTCGCAGCATCTTTGGTTCATCTGATGAGTCAGATGAACCATCGCCAACGAAGGCGCTCGAGGTCGCGAGACTCGGGCGCTAATAGTGGTGTCGGTTCTCCTATGGACACCACTTCACAGCGGGTGCCAGTACTTCTGTCGGCACGTCGCAGGAAGAGCGGGACCGCAATGTGTTGCGTCTCGCTCCAGAAAAGAAGGCATGGATGCCTCCTAAATCTGTCATGGATCACTTGTCGGCGACGACGAGTGATCGTTATCGAAACACGATTGTTCGATTCGTCAAGATCCATCACCTTGACCCCAGCGCGAAAGACTATCGCGCTGAACATGAGTTCTTCATCGATGCTTTCTTCAGACATCGATGGTACAGTGGGAATCACAAACGTGATGGTCCCTCACTACTTCAGGCGTGGAACGCCTACATCCATAATCTCGAGGATGTAGGTCGTGACGCTTGGAACGACAAACTTATCAAAGCTCGTGATAAGTTTGAAAAGCGAACCCCGACAGGTGCACGCTACAAGCTGCATCGTCTGTCAAGGGAGAAAGGATTACCCTGCCTCTCTTGGGGAGACTCGTGCCCATGTTGTGTGAACAACTCTGCACGAGCACCTAAGGAGGCTTACCTCCCTACCAGCCCGTGGTGGCGCGTACGTGTCTCTACTGAGATGTACGAAGGGATTGACAACCTGAAATCCCTTTACGACCGTGCCGGGAAGACTTTCTCCGGCGGTCCTTCTGCGGCACAGGATGTGTCGCGTCGTACTACTCGACCAGACCCAGTACGTCAACCATCAGTGGGAGCGGGGCTCCCAAGAATCCCAGGACGGGGGATAGCCGCGCCACCGGACGAGGTAACTCGTCCGACGTCCGTTCACGTCGCGGTGGTTCAACAGCTGCTCTACTAGATGGCGCTGGCCACCGCGAGAGTCCTCTAATGGAGGTGGAGGAGGAGGAAAGACGCTCTCCACACGATCATGTGGATCGGTGTGTTCCCGAGAGCTTCTTTGATCGCGTAACGCAAGGGTTACGCGACGATCTCGAGCATGAGCGGAATAGGCGTCTCCAGATGGTGGACACTGCCTCGAAGCATCGAGCTGAGTTTGCCTTTGCTCAGCTTGAGAACGAGGAGATCTCTGACATCTCTTCGTGACGAGCTAAGGGTAGCTCGTGGGATTGTTGATCGGTCTCGGGCTGAGATAACTGCTCTTCAGACCCTTGTTGATGCCCACCATCAGGAGCACAAGGCTCTCTGCGAGATGCTTGAGCGCAAGGGCGTTCTTCATCGGAAGAAGCAGCGTACTGATGGTACGGCTTAAGCCGACCAACGTAAAACGTGGGATGCGTTCGCATCTTACGTGGTAACTCGATCGTGTATGCATTGCCTAGGCGGTGCAATACACGAAATGGAGCCAATGTACTTGGGTAGTAGTTTACTGCTACCCAAGTTAGTCACTACATGCTTTGGTAGATTAACCGTAGACAGTAGGACTAAGTCACCTTTATTAAATAAAAGAGTGTTTGCCCTTCCATTCTTGTCAGCGTTTTGCTTTTGCTTATCCACCGCTTCGGCGATGGAGTCTTGCACAAAACGGACTACCGTTTCACGAGCCAGTATGAACTCATCTGATGACTCGTTAGCTTCAGTGTGCTGTGAGCGCACTGCAGCGACAACAACCTTTTCTTCAGTGAGGGCTTCCGCACTCTCACTGGGATCATTGTCTTCAGTGAGGGCTTCCGCACTCTCACTGGCATCATCTTCTTCGATATCGATGTTATCGATATCGGCATCAAACGCAATGACTTCTTCGTCAGAGCGTGATGAGCGTGAACCAAATCGGTTTTTGCTCGCGCGAGTCCCTCCCCCCCTTAAACCAGAGTTACACTCTAGTAAGGTGGGTACACGCGGATGGCGCAAGCCATTCACGTAAAACAGTGTATGTGTCGTGGACGCATGCACCGAGTTGTTGATGGCAAACTCTACCATCGGCAAAAACTCACTCCAACTCTTAAAGGAGTGTACGTATCCTCGAAGTATCTCTTCAAGGACACGATTGGCACGTTCCGTCTGACCATCTGACTCTGGATGATCAGATGTTGACATCTTCAAGCGCGTTCCGAGTGATTTGAACACGGAACGCCAGAAATCAGCAGTGAATCGTGGATCTCTGTCTGATACGAGTTCACGGGAGCAACCCATGAAGTCGGAAGATGGTGTCAATAAAGACACAAGCACAGCCACTTGCCGTGATTGTCTCTGGTACAGCCACAAGGTGTACCATTTTGCTGAATCTGTCAACAAATACGAGAATACCCGTATTCCCGCGTGCGTCTTTGGGTAACCCGAAGACGAAATCCGTGAGATGGATTCCCAGCACTCAGCCGGAACCGGTAGAGGCTGTAAAGGTGCACGCAGTGAAGGACTTGACTTCACTCGTTGGCAGACTTCGCATGCGCGAACATACTTTCGCACAAACTGATACTGGCGGGGCCAGTAAAAGTCTCGACTTACCGTGAGATATGTTTTCTCTCGGCCACGATGTCCTCCTATAGGAGCATCGTGATACTCGAACATGATCCGCAAACGCAGATCAATATCATCTGGAATGACAACACGTGGTGTGTCACCAGAAACGGCTGTATAGTACAGTAAACCGTTACGAGTAGTGTATCGATCTGATGCAGATCGATACGCAGACGACAATCGTTTCAACGATTCTCGAGATGGTTGGGAGAGATGTGACAACAACTTCACTATCTCACCATCTTGGGCGTATGCCCGCCTCACATCATCATACAACGTTGTAGATGGAACTGAGGACGTCATAACCGCAACAGTGACTGTCTCACTGTTGGGTTTCGCGACTGTTTCAAAGTCGGGACGACGTGAGAGTGCATCAGCGACGACATTAAGTCGTCCTGGTTTGTACTCGACCGTAAAGTTGTATTCTGCAAAGAATGACAACCACCGCGCCATTCGTTGTGAAAGGTGCGGGCTGTTCACTGCCGTGCGTAAGGACGCATGGTCAGTGTAAACAACGAAGGGTCTATCTCCTAATAGATAGACTCTGAACTTCGCGAGTGCATACTTCATGGCAAGGAGTTCCTTGTCATGCACTGGATAGTTCCGCTCAGCTGGTTGCAGCTGACGCGACTGATAGCAGACGACGCGTTCAACGCCTTCAAGGTCGTACTGCATTAATGCACAGCCGATTGCGAAATCGCTGGCATCACAGACCACATGAAATGGCCTGTCCTGATCGGCTATTGCTAGGACTGGGGATTGTATCAAGCTCTGCTTGATACCCTCAAAGGAGCGTTGACATTCAGCGTTCCATAACCACCTCTCGTTCTTTTTCAACAAACGAGAGAGGTGTACAGTCATCTCGGCGTAATTGCGTGAATACTTATGCAAATACGCCGCTAGCCAAGGAATTTTCGAAGACCTTTGACATCGACCGGCACGGGCCAGTCGGTGATCGCCTTGATCTTTTCGGGATCAGGACGTACACCGTTCTTACCAACGATGCACCCAAGAAGTGGTATTTCGCTTGCTGCAAATATACACTTCTTGAGGTTTGCATACAATTGATGCTTTCGCATGATTGTAAGAACTTGTCGGACGTGGTACTTGTGAACCTCAACGTCCGACTTTCCATCCATAGCTCGACTATGGATGAATACGTCATCGAAATAACTCGGCGCGAATTCTCGTACTGGCCTCAACAGATGTGATACACACCTGTTGAACGTGGCAGGGGCATTACTGAGCCCTTGTGGCATTACTAGCCATTCCCAGAGCATGCCGCTAGGCGTGCTAACTGCGGTATAGGGTATATCCCGTTCCCGCATTAGGATTTGATAGAAGCCATCCATCAAATCCATGGACGAAAAGATGGTACTCTTTGACATACCATCAATGATTACGTCCTTCCTCGGTATCGGCGTCTGAGCCGGTACCGTTGCAGCGTTCAATTTGTTAAACGCGTGCACTATCCGCCACCCTCCTGTTGCTTTTCGCACACAGAAGGTCGGAGAGCTATGTGGGGAAGTTGATTCCCTCACATGGCCCGCTGCTAAACGATCGGCAAAGAACTTGTCGATCGCAAGTACTGTTCACGAGGCAGTGGCCACTGCTTCATGACACAGTACTTCGAGCCTGGTTTAAGCTCGACTTCGTGTCGAATACCTTTATCCTTCGGTAATTCGCACGGAACAGTTTCAGGGAATACATCCTTGAATTCAACCAAATCTTCATAGAGAGGATTTTCCTTGAGCGATTCCCATGATTGGGACTCATATCGCTCAATTCGTGTCTTTTCATCTAGGACACTCTCGTCCATAGATGAACTACTGAGAACTCTCTCGTTCTCAGTAAACACTGTTGCTGACCTTATGTCGGTTACATACTCGTCTTCAGCGACGAGTATGCAGATCTGCTTGACTTTGCCACTACGCAGATCACGCAAGAATCTTTTATGTTCGAGCGTTGGCAACTGAGTGATCTCCGAAGTTAACTTCGGAGGCGCAATCAGATCAAGTGTATAAGCGCCTACACATGATCCGTTATTGACTATGACATTCAATGTCTCTGTCATTTCCTGGGGACTTATTCCCTCAGGCTTCGAAGGACTTATTCCTTCGTCTTCCCGGGGACTTATTCCCGCGGGTTTCGGGGAACTTATTTCCGCCGTATTTGTAATCTTGGGACTTATTCCCTTTACTTCCTCTAGCTGGGGTTGCGCAACCACAGCGAGATCCTCTACGAAAGACTCTCCAGTCGATCTAGGATTATCGTTTCGCTTAACCTGAGCGATCGATTGTTTCTCTTCTAGATGTTCCCCTCTAGGGATACATCTTTGTCCCAGTCCACCCGACTTATTCGAGTGGTGGACCTTCGGCGCAGCCTGTGTTTCCTCACAGCCGCCGGAACTTTGCTCCGAAGTGTAACCGTTTGGTACACTAAGGTTTTGTGCAGTCGTACTAACGACCGTACCACAAGTGAGGCCATCGCACTCACTCGTAGTACATCCACACGCTTGTGGACGCTCCAAAACGTTCATCAGATGGCCATCTGATGAACAAGCGGCAGGCATCGTTACTGTCCGATGTTGCCAGTTTACCCGTGGTTCGTACCTTCTGAGCCACGGTATTCCAAGGATGACATCAAATTTGTCATCCAAATCCAATACGATAAAGTCATCGTCGTATTGGGTATCTTCTAGCGTATAGTGAATCTTCACTATACGCTTCATGACGGTTACGGATGCGCCTGTCGCAAGACGTACCGTCATCCTCGTAGGAGGTGTGTCACATTCACTGAATTTAAAGTGACCATCTTCTAGCGATTGGCGTCGCACAAAATTGTTGGACGCCCCACAATCGACTAGAGCTCGAAGGGACAACTTATTCGTCACTTCGAGTTTCAAGGTAATGAGTGAGATCTCATTACCTAGAGCAGCAACGCACAATGTCTGTGTGTTGGGAGCAACCTTCATCAAGAGGCCTACAAATTCTCTTGACGTTGCTGGATCAGTAGGGTGCTCCGCACCTACTGATCCTGTCCGTTTTTTGACGGTCCATCCCGTTGTTGCGTCTTTGCACCAACTGCGGATCTTCGTCCCTGCCCCTTTCTCATGGGTGGACGGTCACTACGCCCAGTGTCGCGAGACACTGGACGAGGGGCACTACACTCGTAAGCGTAGTGTCCTGTCTTTTGACATCTGTTGCATCTCTGCAACTTCTTGTAGCCTGTAGAGCGAGCCTTCTCGCTCTCTACATAACAGAGTTCCATCGGCTCTGGACCTCCGTTGTCATATCGTCTCGGTTGACGATATGATGTCGAGCTGGCGCGAGCCTGTCTCAGACTGAAGTCTTCCTGCTCCGCAATTGAAATGGCTTGTTCTAGTGAATCTAGTTCAAGCCGGAACAGGTGAGTCTTGACGGGACCATCCGCAAGACCCTGCATGAACACCGAAACCAACGTGTGTTCATCCACCGGATTGGAACTTATACAACTCGTGAGATGTCGTATATGTTGAGCGTAAGCGTGCACATCACGCTTACCCTGCTTGAGCTTCAAGAGTTCGGTTCGAGCTCTGAACTCAGCTCTAGGCAGTTCAAACGTTTGTCTGAGCCGCGACTTGAAGAACT